TGGCGGGCTGTGGGATTGTTGGTGCTGGCGATGGCGGAGATGGCTTGGGATACCGCTACGTCGCCTATAGCGTGGATGGCGCATTGCATTCCGGCTTTTGTGATCTGCGATAGAACGCGATTCATTGCTTCGCCGGGCCATAGAGGTTGCACCAGATCGGTTGATTCGCCGTAGGGATATGATAATGCGGCTGTGCAGCCATCGACTGTACCATCGCACATGAGCTTGACGCCGACGATACAGAATTCTGGTGATTTTGAGGGATGGAATTTGCTGTGCATGTCGATAGCTTCTTGGATCTTCTCATCGAGAAGTTTCTCATCTGCTTCGTATGGAACGAACCAATGAGCTGCGATGTGAAGATTAATCCCCTTCCTCTCTCGCAGCGTCTGTAAAGCTTCCCAAGCTACTGCATCCATCGCCATGTCGATAACGCCAGTGTATCCCTCTGCGGAGTACGCTTGAACAGCACGTTCCAAAGCTTCAAGTTTATCGTCCATTGAGAGAGATTGGATCAAGAAGGGCCAGAGAAACGCTGTAACAGCCCATTCTGCCAATAGTCCAGTTGGGTTACCATCCTCATCGCATGTTATATGCTCCGGGCACTTTGCCTTCATCTCATCGATCGGAAGCTCCTTCAAAGCAGCAGTGTTGCACCACGCGGAATGAAGATCATTTGAATCAATGAAAATAGGTCGTGGGTCAATGTCATCAATCATACTCGCAAGAGCAACCCCATCCGTCGCAGATTGAAGCCATCCTCTGCACAGAATCTTAGGCAGGTCTGGATTGGCAGCAGCAAAGTTTATTATCCGCTGTCGAATTTCTTGTAGGGACTTACATCCTCCCAGATCCAGTTTTTGCTGTGAAAGACCAAAGAATAAAAGATGGACATGGCTGTCGATGAATCCAGGAAGAACAACGCGATTATGGAGATCCAGAATTTTTGCGCCCTGTGACTTTGCGTCTTGGACTGTTTTGTCGTCTGCAGATCCGATGTAGGCGATTTTCGATCCCTCGACGATCATGCACTCTCTATGCGAGTCATCATCGCCCATGAAACGGCCGTTGGTGAGAATTGTAGAAGACATTATTGCGCCCACTGATGATAAGAATGATGATAGGAAGAATAATATCGCAAGAAATGTTATGAGAAGGAAATACAATGGAATGGAATTACAGGGTCTTATCAACATGAGGGGGATCGAGACTATGATGAAAGTGGCAGCAGTTTTGCACTAGAGGGTTCGGCGCGTCGAACTTCTCAATGGGTCGACCTGCTAGAAACAAGAGTCTGGGCGTGTCGACCTGCTGAAAGAGGTCTAGATCAGTGGGGAGCTACGCGATCCCCGGGCTTAACAGTTGAGTTCGCCTAACTTGGGGATGAGAATTTAGATAAAGTAAATCGAGGTGGGAAACGCCGTATGGGGTGGGTCTGCGGGATACGTTTGCGGGGAAATCGTTATCTTCGTGAGATTTTGGATCCTTTTGATTGAGGCTGTGATGTTGAAGGTCACTGAAAGCAAGGTTACCTTACATCGCCATGTCGGCTCCGAAACCCGAGTTTCTCCACCCCAACTCCTCTCGGATTTTATCTGACAACGGGACCTAGGGAAGGGACGAAGACTCAGGACCTTAACCGCCAGTAATAAAAATACTTAGGTAAATATAGCATAAACTTAGGGGACTCTTTGCTAAGTTTATTTAGACACCTTATCTTAAGGCCCAGCGTTTTCTTGCTCGCTGAGGAGGACAAACTACTGGGTACAACAATGAATCGGGTTCCGACTGAAGACTGTCCACCCGATAGCTCAACACAGCCAGCGCCACTGATACAAGAGCAAATTCTCGAAGAACCAGAAGCGGAAGACTGGGGCGATTACGTTGACTCCGATGAAGAGCCCGACGTGGAATTTGCCTGCGAGGATATCAACCTCTACCCTAGAGGTTTCTGCTACCCAATCTCAATGGGTGAGATTATCATCCAGCGATATCGCGTTGTCCATAAACTTGGCCTCGGAGCTTTTTCGACTGTTTGGATGGCGCATGAAATGATTGAGGATAAAGATGTTGCGCTTAAGATCTTAATATTGGGGAATTCAAATGAGCGTGACTACCATGTGCAGAGCGAGATAATTGGGACAGCGAAAGATTTGACGCATCTGTTGGTATACTATCAAACGTTTCTGCTTCCCAGCCCCCATGATCAACACCGAGTATTCGTCTTTCCACTCCAAGGACCAAACTTGAGAAATCACCCGCCTAGGAACATACTTATTTGCTACAAGGATGAAATTTGCAGTACAGTTGCTCAAGGCTTTGAAGGCACTACATGAGGCTGGAATAGTCCATTCAGGTACAGTCATCCACCCCAGTCAAAAGTAAGATAGCTAACTCATAAAAAGACCTGAACACTGCTAACATAATGTACACCCTGCGTCCTCTCAACAGCAGTATAGCTGAAAAGTACAAGCAAATCGGACGACCTAGAAAGATGAAACTATGGACTGAGCAGTGGAAAGACGGCGAACTGGTTCTGCCAATGAAGCCAAATGAAGAACTCATAGGAGACTCCATCGTTCTCGGTGATTTTGGTCTAGCTCACAAAGCTGGTTCTCCGGCTCAGAAGATGCAATCGCCTGCTACTTACTGCGCTCCAGAACGGGTACATAACATCAACCCGTCTTATGGTTCAGATATGTGGAGTTACGTGTGTATCTTCTTTGAATTATACACAGGGACGTATCTGTTTCAAGGTTGGGGGCATGCATCAGTTATGTCATCTATTGTTTGTACGCTTGGGCCTCTTCCAGAGTCTTGGAGGGGGACATACCACGTCGGTGGATCGGGTGATGATACGTGGTATGATCAGAATGGGCAATTAGATCCAGAGTTCGATCTGAAGGAGAGGTTGAGTCAACTTCGTCCTGATGTTGGCGCGAGGGAGTTGGAGCTTGTAGTGTCCGTACTACGAAGGGGTCTTGTCTATCAGCACGAGGAACGGATCACGGCAGCGGAGCTTCTAGAGCACGAATCATTTAAGGAGCTCATGAGCATATACATATGGTAACATGGAAAAGAGTCTCAATATGTCAGTCAAGGGCTATACCTAGCTAGAATCGCAGCACAAGTTCCGTGGGGACAGCTGGGAAGGATAGCCTTTCAAGACAAATCAATAGGAATTGTAGGAACATGTCTGTCAATCACGCCTCTCATACTATCAAGTCTAATCGGAAAGCCAACATAAATTAATTCTTCCGTTCCAGGGATAATTTGGAATGTCCACAAGTCCGTCGGCAATAAAGTTATAGCAGTTTCCTGCGCAACCCATGTTTCCGCCATTTGTAATAAGTAACTTGGGCTGTCCCTTAGCAGGACTGTCATCAGGAGTCTGAATGACTCGAAGATCGCGCGGATACGTGTGTGAGGCGCGTGATGTGAGCCATCAGCTGGGGACTATCAACTCAAAATAACACTCTTGTCAAAGTCAATCCGGGCAGTATACGCTGCCCACCGCCCAACCTTGACGGGCTTCCAGCTATTAGGGTCAAGGTCATCCGTATTAACAAACACCTCCTCCCGGCCACCGCCATTAGCGATAAATATTCCCCTGCCATCCATTCCAGGCTCAGCAGTCCAAATCACACGTGGATTGCGGTTGGGGTTTATTCCCCCGTTGTAGGGAATGATGGGCTGTTCGGTAGCGGATGCAAAGTCGAGAGGGTCGCTGGATGCCTTGTAGTAAACAGGGCAGCCGCCGGTAAGAGGGCTACCGCAGTGCTCAAGTGTCATGGCGTATTTCTTGGAGACGGGGCTGTAAGCGACGACTGCCATCTCAGGACGTTTGTCAGTGTTGGGAAACGCGACGTCGTCAACCTCGACGCTCCAATCGCGTAGATCCTTGGTCGTCTTGTGTGAGAGCTTCTGGTTGCACTTAGGGTCGACTTGCGTGGAGTAGTAGCAAATAAGTTGGTCGTCATCCATCATAAGAAAAGGCTCCCATACTGCTTTATCACCCTTGGCGACAGTCTCGGGTCCAGGGCAGTAAACAATACTGCTGACAAACATAGAGAACAATATAGGCCTTGGTGAGATTGCGAGGGGAAGAAACACCAGCGAGCAGAACTGTGCCCTCGCTGTATCCGCCAAAGTCCTGGGGCAAGGTGCAGAGAATGGCTGGTACCAGTTGCCCCAGCCGTTGACCTGATCCTCGACCCTAGCAAGGGGGCTGTATGATGAAGAGCAGGTCGATTTATAAATGCCGTTTCCCTTTAGGGATCTTTAGAGCTGGGTGAGTGAACTACTGTACTGCTGAGCGGCGTAAGAGCCAACCAGAGGCCGTCATTTCCGATGACGACAAGATCAGCAGCTAAAGGTTTACTCTAGACTTTTATTCTGCTCCCTGCTGTTCCCCCCAGATTCCCGAGATAGCAACTAGCATTCTTAACTACCTAGGGATTGTGGTAATTTGCATTTCATCTATACGTACGCCGCTGGCGATTGGGGACTTCACCTGACTTAGGTATGGAGTTGGCGTAGTGGGGTAGGCTATTGCGGACGGGATTAACACTGACCCCGCTGCCAAACATGGCCAGTCTGTGCAGAAACTCACAATGGTCTCCATCCTGTAATACCTCTACAGGAAGACTCGCACGGCATGTCGCGCACAAGCAGTGGCGATTCACCTGCCCTCCAGGAACGTGGCTCCCTGCGTACACTAGAGAAGGGCAAGAGTCAATTCATCGGCAGCTCCAGCGGAATTTACTTTGTCAACACAGTCCGACGAGCCTTCACAAGCGCAAACTCGCGGCTATCGTCTCGTCTTTTCGATACCACGCACCCTACCCCCGAGGAGTGCATAGTCGAGGATGAGCAGCAGAGACCCAGCGACTCTGCGCCGGCGTCTTTTTTTGCTGGGCTCGGCAGACCGCCCCAGCCGGATGTTGCGAAGCAGCTCTTCATGACGTATTTTCAGACATGGCATCGCTTCTTCCCGTTCTTGCATGGGCCAACTATTCTCAAGGATATGGGAGATTTATATGGGTCGTTTGACCAGAATAGCACAGCGACGACACTTGCGAAGAGTATCATCCTGCAGTGCATCTTTAACCTGGCAGGTCTACATGATAGCAGCCAGCTACCGGCCGCATGCGAGATCCAAAAGCCCACCGACGTGCTCACTTATCTTCCGGGCCTCGCAGTCAAAGGCGACCTTGTTTCCATCCAAGCTCTCTTTGCTGCTGGTCTACTACTGATAGCTCGCATGTCGCTGCGTGCAGCTGCGGTCGTAAGCGGTCTTTTATCGCGCGCTGTCTTTCTAGCAGGGCTGCACCGTTGTCCTTGCCGCTATGCGAGGCTCACAGCGGATGATTGCGATATTCGGAAGAGGCTGTTTTGGTGTATCTATGTCTTTGATCGATACCTCTCCCAGGCTTTGGGGCATCCGTTGGGGATACAGGACTCTGATGTAGATGTCTGTCCTCTGGATGGACCTGAGCTTCACCACCCGGTGCTGCATCCAACGGTTCCTTCGAGTCATGATGACTTTACCTCGCCGGTTTCTGGGGTCTCAATGAACTCACCTAGGAATCAGTCTGGTAATGCCACCGCCACGTCACGGCAAAGTGAAGCCGGTCTTAGTAGGGGAACAAGCGACGATGAATCAAGTCAGAAGCAAAATCGCTATTCGAGCTTGTCCTTTCAGGTCCAATACTCACGTCTTCTCGGTCGAGCCCTGGAACTCTTCCACAAATCTCTCCACATTCGGTCCATCGACAGCGAATCAATTCTCTCACTCCAAACAGACATCAACGCCTTATGGAATGCACTGCCCTCATCTCTCCAAGAATTCGATCCCTCTTCTCATACTACTGAAGCAACCCAAAGTCAAATCTTCAATGAGTCGGCTCACTTTCTCCTTCTTCATAGCCAGCTGGTACTTCTAATTCATCGCCCTAGGCTATCTCTGGAGCCATCCACCCCAGAGTTTCAGTCTGCGATCCAAATCTGCATCAGCGAAGCGCGACAAATCATCAAAATAATAAGCAAGCAGCATGATGCAGGGTTTGCTCTGTTCTGGCCGGGGTATCTCTCCGTCACATGGATGGCCGGCATTGTGCTGGCCTTTGCGTGCCAACTGCGGCTTTACTTGGCAGAGAAAGGCAAGAGGTGAGGCAAAACTGTGAATTGTTTTATTAAATGTGTCTCCGACTCTTGTGCGAGATCCCACGATAACCTAATAGTATACTCCTACGGAACCTTATACGCATATACTGACAGACTGAAGGGAGATTAGTATGTGCCTTGAGGCCCTGCTTCATATGTCCGAGCGATGGAAGCTTGCCAAAAACTGTCACGCTGTTCTCCTGGGTCTTACCGAAGCTCTCCAGGAGATGGAGCGTACAGCAAAGAGACCGGCCTCCGACTCCACATCCAATTCTGCGCATTCGCCCTCTGCGCAACATAATGTAGTTAGGGACATAGTATCTCCAGCCGTGAACTCTCAAGGTGGCCCCAGAAAGAGAACAAGACTACATTCGAAATCACGCTCCAGGCCGGGACATAACAACGATGGTAATGGAGAACGTTCCAATCAAGGTCCTGCGACTAACAGCAACGCGTCAGCGGATGAACCGTTGAGCTATAGCTTCTTCGATGCTTTCAATACCACGGGCCCGGCTATCCAGGATCACCCCCAATCCATTGAAGATCCCGGCAGACTAAGCAATTGGGAGAGTGGGATGCCTGATCTTTTAGCTGGAATCACTTGGGAATCACTGCTGGGAGGTATTGACCAGGATGATCCGACCTTGGATAATGCATTCTTCTAACCGACTCAATTCAAATAAGGCTCAGGTTTAGAGAGAAGGGTCATATTTGTGCGTTGCAGGAATGCTAATATTATTATTATAAATTAAAAATAGGAATACTGGTAATTCTATATCTTTTCTACTACCTTGACACAATTCTTGCTAATCCATCGGCAAAACCTTTAGCCTGTCATCAAAGTTTATAGCGCAGATCATTCGCCACTCCATCAACCCGACCTCTTAGTAAATTTCAACCGACGATCCAGTCTCGGAACAAGTTACTGCCTTCTATTGCTCTAGTGATTGAGCTCGCAATTCGCAAACTTCTACAGCGATAATGCCACCCGCTCGAGGCCGTGCAGCTTGCAATATCTGCCGAACGCGAAAGCAAAAGGTAAGATGAAGCCGCACATACTAGAATTATCTCTGAGGCACAGCTCAAGTGCTGATATGAAGGCCTCCATTGCAGTGCGACGGAATTAGGTACGTGAACAAGTAGCTGCATCAATGAACCAATTGCTCATCCTTCAAGGCCAGCATGCTCAAGATGTCGAAGTTTTGGGTCTCAGTGTACTTGGCCAACAGTCTTGAAACGGTAAGTCTTACAAACAGACTCCAGAGAAAGAAAGGATACTTATGGAATCCAGCGGCCCGCCTAAGGGATACACAAAAGCTTTGGAAACACGGCTACGCGAGACCGAAATGGTTCTGATACGGGTCCTACAGTCAACAAATGATCAGGAGCTGTTGGCTCGTGCGTTCAATGACGATACAAAAGAGCTAGGGTTTAACGAGCGAATAACTGAGCATAGTATGGGCGAACAGAGGATGCTGGCCTTGATGAATCATTGGGAGCGGTTCCCACTTCGGACTGCTGATAATGTTGTGCAGTGGATTGAAGAGACAAGCAGGAACTCGAACTTGCAAGACAGGGCTGGAAGTCAGACGCTCAAAAGGACAGGGGAAGTATCACAACTAGTAGAGCATTCTCACGACATCGCCCATCAGCCTGAGGCCGATATTGAGAGCCATGTCGGTTCTGAGGATGATCTGTCGGTTGAAAGTCGCCATGGCCATGCAACCTCAATATCCCTACCCCCAATAATGGAGCTCTCATCGGAAGACACCGTTGAGGCGGTCATACCAGCAGAAAAAGCACATGAGGTGCGAAATACCGCCGCCTCTTCTATCATTGAACTACCAGAAGACTTCAAAGACCAGTTTCTGTGGTAGCGTAAATGAAAATCATGTTCTTTCGTGCTTTTTCCGCCAAAAGTGACTCCAAACCTCGTTCTTGTTCTTGATTCTACGGTTTCTAAAAGCAACTTCGGACTTTGACATCCCATACATGGATATCCACCTTCCTGTCGATTTAACTCTCATCGGTTCCCTCCATTCTGCATATCTAGCTAGAGGCGAGTGGCTAGTCCTCCAAAGACTATAGGCACTCATTTGTTACCCACGAATGATAGCCCCGTTTGGATGTTCACCTTCAGCTCTTTCACAGCCTTTTCAAGGAGAATCGCTTCATCATCTGACAAATTGCCAAATGGTAACACCTCAAGTGCTCCTTGCTCACCCAGCTTCACTTTGACCGAAAAGTAATCAACCTGAAGCTGGGTCGCGATCTCCTTACCTCCACTGATCCCCGGCAGGTAAACATACGCCTCCTCTACGACTGGATCTCCTGCCTTCGCTGTAAGGAGGGCCTTGGTAAATCTGAAACCCGCATAGGCCATGCACGTCGTAGCGCTGCCGGCTCCTTGCTTGCTCTTCACTATTTCATCACCACCGAACTGAACACCTGTTGTGGCTCGTTAGCTATCTGCCGTGCTTATCAAGAAAGACCCACGGTTTATAACGTTGGGCAGTTCGGCACCCAAGTCGATGGACGGTTGGGCCTGGCTGTAGAGAGGAAGAATTGTAGCACCGCTGTGACCGCCGATGACGGGGACTTTGATACTGGTAGGGTCGGCGTCGCCAAGAGCGTGTGCAGCAAAGGTCGACGCGCGCACGACGTCTAAAGTGGTCACGCCAAAAAGACGCGTGGGATCAAAGACACCAGCCGCACGCAAAGTCTCCGCTGCAACGGGAACCGTCGAGTTCACTGGGTTAGTGATGATGCATGAAAGTGCCTTGGGGGCATGTCTTTGCAACTTGGGTGAAGATGTCTCTAATGATGGAAGCGTTGGTCTAGAGCACTTTGTGAGCAGACTGCCGAGGTGGTTACAGAGATTTGAGTTCTCACATTGAACAGGTCTAAGATGTTGATCAACTCCAAGGTCTACTGAGATTATTCGGAAGGATTTGCTTACCGTCGCGCGTCATTCCAGGTTTCCTGGCGATTCCAGCCGTGACGACGACAAGGTCCGCGCCGCTGAGTGCTTTGGCCAGACCATCATCAGCAGGTAAAAAGCCTGAAACAGTCGCTTTAGTGTCGATGTGATTGAGATCAGTGGCGATGCCGGGTGTATGAACAAGGTCATAAAGTGCAATTTCATCAAAGAGATTGCTCTATTCTCACCGTCAGCGTTTGAAGAGTATGTAATGATGTACGGATATGCTTGCAGCTTTACAGAGGAGGCTGAGAGGGGTCCCGATCTGACCAGCAGCACCGAGAAGAGCAATCTTTGTCATGGTGGATGGTTGTTATTAATTGGTCTTGGCTGAGGTGGTTGTGTTGATCAAGTTGATGATCAAATAGCTTATATGCATGACCTCACCTGACCTTGAAGGCAATAGCACGGCTTTATAGCCAATCCTTGAGTCGATATTTAGCCCGGTTACAACGCAAAGACGGCAAAGCTTTGTACCGAATGGGTTGAGCTTTCTGTTCAGTTGATCTATCACCCGACGTTGGTGGATCTGATGACCTAGCGCTGTCTCCCTCCAACGTGCAGATGGATAACACGGCGCTCAAGAGGGGAAGCTCCGTTCAGACAAGATCGTAATGAATTCAAGAATTACCAGCAGTAACATGACCTAACAAACACGGGCATATAGGCGACTTGTACCATGTAGCAGCTGGCGAACTCTCAGTGCAGATGAACCATCTCACAGCACTTAATTACACCCAGTGATCTGTTATACACCAAGAAAACGAGATAAATCATGAGATAAGAAGTTAGGCTAATACATATCTGATACACTTACTATGAGATGTCAGATCGTAGCCCAACATGCTCTGGGACAGATGTAAGAAGAGGCTCCCCCAAAACAGCCCGTCGCGCATTCTCCATAGCACACATCTCCATCTTCTTCAACGTCTCCACAGTATGTATCCCCAAATGGGGCACAAGAAGGGCTCTCTCGTTCTTAACGAGGCGTTCATTGATCATAGGTTGATGCTCGTAAACATCCAGACCAACAGAGCCAATCTTGCCTGAATCCAGCGCCTCAGCCAGTGCATCTTCATCAATGACAGCACCTCGCGCCGTGTTCACAATAACAACGCCGTCTTTCATCTTGCTGATTTCCTCCGCACCAATGAGATGCTTCGTCTCAGCGTTCAGCGGAACATGGATGCTGATTATATCACTCTCGGAAATTAGCTTTTCAAAGGATACGTATCTCGCACCGGCTGCCTTGTCAGACGGAAGTTCTGAGCGGTTATGGTATTGTGTGATGATACCGAATGGATCGCATCGTGCTTTGAGGGCGCGGCCTATCCGGCCCATGCCCAGGATCCCTAGGACCTTGCCTTCAGGATCACGGCCAAAGGGCACGCCCTTCTTGAAGTTTCCGTGGCGCAGCGATTTGAGAGATTGGTTTAGTTGTCGCAGTGATCCGAGCAGTAGCCAGAGAGCTAGGTCAGCTGTGGCGTTGGTGACCGGGTCTGGTGCGTAGGTGAGTGTAATTCCTCGATCGGCGCAAGCCTTGACATCGATCTGATCATAGCCTGACGCAGTACCAGTAAATATTATGCTGGATAACTTGGAATTGAATTGGGGATACTCACCTGCTCTATTGTGGCAGATGAACTTGCAGCTTGACGGAAGATGCTCAATGAATTCGGCGTCAAAGTTCCCGCCGACCTGAAGCGTGTCAAAACATGTATCTGAACGAACAAACTTCGTAAAACTGGGAGGCTCACTGCACCACTTGCCGATGTCCTGTAGATCACCTGAATATCTTGGTACTTGCCTTGAACATCCTCAAAGAATTCTTGCCTGTTGGTTCTGGTGACTAACTCGACTCTGGCGGCATTCTGCAGCTCTTCATATGCTGACATTGCATGCTTACTGGGCTGAAGAAGAGGATCAAGGGTTTCGGTTTCTCCATTGTGCGCTGTGTGACAAGATTCGCTGAATGTTATCGATCGAGATCAAAATGTGCGACAGGTCTATGCATATGACTTATAACGATCCTTCGCAGGTCGGCTTTGAGATTACCCGAGGCCAAATGAAAAGAATATAGGCGGCCATAGAATGCCCCAACGGTGCCGCTATTCCGTTTGAATAGTGGATCATTTATATTTCAAGTTTCTCTATCTCCACATGATACCATCATACTACTTCTGTCGAGCCTTGGAATCTGTGGGGACATCAGGGGCAGCACGGTGCTGGTCAAGAATAGCCCATTATACTACCATGCATAACGAGAACCGCATTCTTCTTGCTTCATTATAATTGATCAATTTTAATAAGTTCTTCTATCAGATGCCACGAAAATGAATGCCTTTAAGACGGCCTCTTGAAGTGCACCTTCAGCTCCTCCCAACTATGCTTATTATAATCAGCCTGCACCTTCTTACAAGTCTCCAACCCCCAATCCGTAATCCCCAACATCAAACTACTCTCAAACATAAACGCCATGCTCCCCTCCCCAACCTTAACAGGCTTCAACTCCGCATTGCTCGCCCTCTCATACGAATCAGCATCTGGCCCATGAGCTGACATGATATTGTGCAGACTAGCTCCAGCAGGTTGAAATCCACCGCCAGTCTTGGCATCGTACTGTCCGCAGATGAGACCCATGAACTCGGACATGGTGTTGCGGTGGTACCAGGGGGGGCGGAATGTATCTTCCTGTACGAGCCACCGTGGAGGGAAGATTACAAAGTCTGCGATGGCGGTGCCGGGATGGTCGGAGGGGCCGGTTAGGACGGTGAAGATTGAGGGGTCGGGGTGGTCGAAGGATGTGCTGCCGATGACGGAGAAGCGGCCTAGGTCGTATTTGTAGGGGTAGACTGTGACTGTCAGTATATATCCCAACAACAATCCTAGCATTTATCTGTAACTCACATCTATCAAGGTTAGCTTTATACAGTAGATAATAGGTTAGGGATACTCACTTTCCATGCCATGCCACTACATCAAAAGGCGTATGTCCCTGCTCAGCAACAAATAGCTCATTGTTGAACTTATTCAAAATCGTCCAAGTACTCTTCGTATTCTCATCAAAATCCGCAACAGGAATCTGAAAATCCCTCGGATTCGCCAAACAATTGGATCCAATAGGTCCCAGCTCCGGTAGTTGAAAGTGTCCCTGATATAACTCAAGAATATAACCTCTCACTGGCCCCTCAGGCAGCGTAACTCTATATCTCACTCCCCGAGGAATAATAGCAATCTCATTCGGTCTTACAAGAAGTCGTCCCAGCTCAGTCTGGATATCCAAGACTCCATGCTGTGCAACGATGAGCATCTCTCCGTCAGATGAATACAGAGCAGTTTTGGCGTCCATGTCTCTACCCGCGGCGAAGACGTAGATTCCGAGACCGGATTTGACGGTGGGATCGCCTGCGCCGGATACAAGCTTTAGACCACGAACCCAATCGACTTTTTCATCAATGTCGAAGGGATCCCAGCGGAGTTGCTGGGGTTCATAGTTTAACTTTGCCTTGAGTATTGGGGATGAGGGATCACTAAAGCGCTTGTATGTTGAGTGTGAGGCTGAGGGGAGGATGCGATACAGCCATGTTTGGCGGTTCTCATGGCGGGGAGCTGTAAATGCTGTGCCGGAGAGTTTTTCAGCGTACAATCCATAAGGGGGCTTTTGAGGTGAATTTGCGCCTATTGGGAGTGCTCCCTTGATAGACTCAGATCTACTCCATTAGCCACTATTCGTATCGAAAGGTACACCAGGACTTACTCGTGGAATGAATCAAAGCCATTGAGGTACTCGTACTTCTCAGGCGTGGAAAACTTGGTAACAGGCATTTTCACAATGATCAAATCATGCTCAAAAGAGTAGATAACAAATCTTTATCAATCAGCTCTATTTAACAATGTTCTTCGGTTCAAGCCCGAGTTTCCGAGTGGTTGATACATCCCGACCCATCCGACTCGTCTCGGAAAGAATGGAAATTTCCGAAACGACCCCGCGATGCAGTTATTAAGCATCACGACATTAATACTACTCTGCAGCGCGATATAATGATCTCAAACAGAGGGTCCTTTATTTGTAGAGGGTTTAAAAGACCGGCGCTGCCACTGAAGATATTTCGTTGTCAAATTTCTGTATCATTCTCAACATCTTCATTCAAAATGGCGTCTTGGCTTCCTATCCCTTCAAAGAGCCACTTCTCACTGGCAAACATTCCCTTCGGCATCATCTCAACATCCGCTGAACCAAGGCACCGTCCTGCAATTGCAATCGGCCAACATATCCTCGATCTATCAGTTTTCGCTCAAAACAATGGTTTCTCCAAACTAGCTGATTTTCCCTCTGATCAACTCAAGGTCTTTTCTCAAACTACCCTTAACGACTTTGCCGCTCTTGGAAGACCCGTGCATAGAGCTACACGCGCTTATCTCCAGGATATCTTCCGCCAAGAAACTCCATACCCTGAGATTCTCAAGGATAATGACTCCCTACAAAAACAAGCTCTGGTTCCAATTGGGGATGTTCAGTCTCACTTGCCGCTTAGTATCGGCGATTATACTGATTTCTTCGCTGGCCGTAACCACGCTCATACCGTGGGTACACTGTTCCGCGGCGCTGCAAATGCTCTGCAGCCTAATTACAACCATCTCCCCGTCGCATACCACGGCCGCGCAAGTTCCGTCGTGGTATCAGGAACACCCCTCCACCGACCCTGGGGCCAAGTCCTTCCCAATCCCCAAGCCAAAGAGCCTGTATTCCAGCCCTGCGCTCGTCTCGATATTGAATTGGAGCTTGGGATGTTTATCAGCAAGGGGAATAAGCTTGGGGCTCCTGTGGATGTGAATAACGCGGAGGAGTATATTTTCGGATATGTTCTTATGAATGATTGGAGTGCGAGGGATATTCAGCAGTGGGAGTATGTCCCGCTGGGGCCGTTTAATGCGAAGAATTTTGGGACGACGATTAGTCCTTGGGTTGTTTTGGCGGATGCGTTGGAGGGCTTTAGGGGAAAGGGTTTGGAGAATGAAGTGCCGCCGAAGAAGTATCTTGCTGAGAAGAGGGAGGACTCCATTCTCGATATCAATCTTGAGGTTTCCATCACCAGTAAGTCACAACCCAGCTCAGTTGAGACACTGATACTGACAACATATAGCTGCCAAGGGCAACAAAACGAAAATCACACAAGTCTCATCCCAGAACCTCCTCTGGTCCTGGCCCCAAATGATCGCCCACCATTCCGTATCTGGGTGTAACCTGCGCACAGGAGATTTACTCGGTTCAGGAACGATTTCTGGTCTTGAGGCTGGAACGCAGGGAAGTCTTCTTGAGCAGACGATGGGCGGGAAGCAGTTTGTCAAGTTGGAGGGAGGAGAGGAGCGGAAGTTTATCCAGGATGGTGATAGTATTACTATTACAGGTTGGTCTGGTACTGCTGATGATGGGCTTGTTGGATTTGGGGAGTGTGAGGGTACGATTATTGCTGCTGTTCCTAGGGATTAGAGAGGGGGAATGGATAGTTGTTTAGACTATAGATTTGCAATCGTTTGAGCATCGTTTAAATGGCTACGCGACGTGATACATGGAAATAATTTAGAACCTATATCATGACTTTGCTTCTTAGTAGATTGTCATTGGACACCAACCATGCTTTTTCCAGTTGACGACTGAGACTGGAAGCTTGGAGCAGCACAGAAAATTCCTTAGTTGTTGATCACGCAACCCATGCTTGAGTCCCAGAATATCCACATACCAAATGCGAGACAGAATACAACGTGTCGGAATTCGAAGTAACCGTGGAGAAATCTTCTTATGTCTTGACAATTCTGTCTGTAGCTATATCCATCTCAGACTATCCGAGCCAAGTGCCGACATATTCTCTCTTCGTCGTATTCCTGCACGACAGTGGATCCTAGCATAGTCCCGGAATTCGCTACTAAAATTCCGAGGCATCCGCTTCATATAAACCCTCAAGCCTCCAGATACATTCCTACATCTCTATATCCGTACATCCCTCTCTCCACTTTACCACCCCATCACATTCATCATGTCCGGCCAAATCACCCGCGTAACCCTCTTCAAGATCCCCAAACTTGAGGATCAACAACATCTCATCGATCTCTATAAACAAATGCCCCAAAAAGCCACAAAAGTAACCCCTCCCTTCCCCTCCTCCAGCCCCTCTCTAATATCCCCAGGACGGAAAACCCTACATCGTCTCAGTCCAAGCTGGAAAAGCAAAAGCAGACCAACGCTCCCAAGGCTTCACAATCGTAGCTATTTCCACATTCGCTTCGCAGGAGGACTTTAACTACTACGACACCCAATGCGCTGCGCATCTTGAACTAAGGACTTTTGCAAAGAGTGTCAATGAGGGCGTGGCGATGATTTACTTTGAGAATGAGATTTTGTAAATAAAAATAGAGTTTTATATTAACCCTTGGAATCTCATTGATATATCCTTTCCTTGCTCTGCTGCCATAGCATACTCTCCTTCTTCGCTGAACGTGCTGGGAACGGGATGTAAGAATTGTTGACCCTCGCCGAAGGCGTTGAAGAGGTTGAGCAGGGACTCGCTCATTTGGAACATATCGGGGACGGAGTTTGCGACGTCTGCGTCGCCGAACATCATGTCGCCGAAGGAAAAGGCCTCGTTGTCGGGCATCGCCATGGGGACGTGCTCTTCAGCGTTGACGTCGACTTGCGGAACACTTTGCTCAGCTGTAGCCCCATTTTCATCGTCTTTTCGAGGTTCGCCATCTTCACCGTTCTGAGGAAAGCCAAAGGTGTTCATGCGGGGAATCATACCGCGAATACTCTTCCAAAGCCTTTTACTCACAATGTTGTGTCGTGATAATCCTCGCACTAGCTCAACGCCATCGGAGAATGTGCGCTTGCACGGTATGGAGAAAATCTCTGGGGCGTGACACACAGCTAAGAAGATAACCGCCAAAGCACTTAGCAGAAAGTAGTTGAAGACGTTCTGCTGCCGCTTGTAGATATCCGTCGTTGCATGCAGATGAACCAGAACTTGTATGGTATCCTGTGCTATATCGACTACCAACCATGCATTTTGCGGATTAGCAGCTATACTAGCTGTACTCATCAAATGATGCCGATAAATCAGGATACGAGCGTAATTCCCACGAAGGTATAATAATGCTCGTAAACGATGGGGCAGGCGAGGTTGGGCTCGTGGTGCAAGACCAAGACGAGGATGGCGAAGTCGCAGATGCGGTGGGATAGAGTCCAGCCAATCTTGGGTTTTTAAGTCAAGAATAGCAGCTGTGTCGTCCGGGATAGTTTGAGAAGCTGAGCCAAACGGGGGAATGGCTTCCCAGATTTTAGAGCATAGCTGGCCATATCCAACCATGCACTGAAGATACAAATACTCTTCATCCTACACTAATCAGCTTAGCTTGAAGCTTTTGATGGGTAGACTTACAGGTTTTGGTAGTTCTGGATCAACGTCCTTGTCGACCAGCGCAAACGATAAACTCGTTCCAAAACTCCATCTTCTATCAAGCACGTACACGCACCAAAACACACGCGTAGCTAATCGTCGAGAATCAGTGTCTTTGAAATTATCCAAAAGACTCCGTTTCCGATGTAGACCCATCTCCAGAGCTTGACGTGCTGCTATGCCGATAGATCGCCAGGCTAATAGCTCTTCACCTGCGTGGAAGTAGTATATACTCTACTATCGTCAGCACCCTCCCCGATACCATTATGGTGGACTTACCAGCATCGCCAAAAGTTGAACTTCCTTCAAATCAACCTGCGGACTCAGAATACTCGACACATTCGTCTGCACCGAATCAACAATCGCCGTCGCCAACTCAAGCTTGCTCGGCTCCTCGAGCAAAATCCCCGTCGATATCGCCACCTTTGCAATATCAATATCCTTCCCACTAACCCTCCCC